ACCAACGTTCATTCTCATGAGGGTCTAATAATTCTGCCGTGTGCTTCACTGTGCTCTGCTGATCTTACTTGCCAGGTTCGCCACCTTCATGAAAGATGGGGGCAGTACCTGGAGTGTTAGCATACAGACACCACCACAGACAAAGGGAGGGGCATTGGTGCCTCGCAGTCAAGTAGATGAACGAGGAATTTTGTGTCACGATGACACCGTTAAAGTGGAATGGATTGGAAAATCACTCAGATTCCTTCTCCAATTACAGGCTAACTCAATTACTGCAGTCCCTCTGGGACCAAAGGCAACAACCATGCTGAAGATCCCTGAATTAAAGCTATAGTGAACAGGGGCAAGATTCTGCTGCAGTGTGTTCCAGAAATACATTATATTATGAATAATAAAAAGGGGTGGTGAACTGTATCTATGACACTGGGTTCTAGTGTGGTCAGACCTTCTGTGGCTTCAGTTAGGAAGCAGCTTGAATGACCAAAGTTCTTGATAAAGGTGTCAAGTGACATCCATTATCTTTCATGTGCCTTTGCATGAATGTACCAGTAGCCCCAAATATGTACATTCTGGTTGCTAGTTTTGGACAAGTGCTTGAGCGTTTTTACTGATACCCCAGAGTAATTTCCAAGCCTTGAAAATACTTGGAGATCAGACATAAGGACCACACAATTCTGATTACTGTCTTGCTTTCAGATCACATCAGTTACCATGTGGCTTAGCAGCTGATAATTCACAAAACGGTTTATGTTTCACATTAACACCATATATCGCTAGGAAACAGAACATCTACACTTTATCAAGTGTTTGTCCTAATGCTGATGATTTGTGAGATAAATGACCTTAGGGCTGGTGCTGTCTGATCCAGCCATGCTTTTCTGGCAGGACAGGAGCCTGCTGAGCCTGCATCTTTGCACTGGTAAAACACTCCATCCTTGCTGTGTATACTGACTGCTGCCTCCTGCAATTAGCACTCAAGCAGTCCTGGCAGGAGTTTGGAAAAGACCCTAATTTATCAATAAACCTGGAGTTTTTTGTGGTGTTAGATTTCAAGGAGTATGATCTCTAAAGAGGACAAAGGTATTTTTATTTTCTTTTAAGGAGGAATTTTCAGTGTGATTTCTTTCTTACTTTTTTTTTTTTTCTTTTAGATCTTTCTGGGCTTTTCGTTTTGGGTATGGGTGGTTTCTGACAGCTCTCATACCTTTTAATATAAATTTTAGTTGATGTATTTGTTATGTTGCTTTTTTCTCTTTTTCATTTGAACCTAAACCAGTTTATGTGGTCCCCAAAGAGCGAAATGCATACTATGCCAGCTGGCATGCCCTCTGGCTGTGAAGCCTTGTTAAAGAGATTGGAGCTGACAGATTCTTGAGCAGCAATCTGATACAGGCCTTTTTTTCTAATTTGTTTTTTTTGAGCTCACCCATGTAACAAATGGAGGGTTGTTTGGGAGCTTTGCTAGAGGTTTGAATGGAGTCATTGTTTTCAAAACACTGCTATGATTCAGAAGTGTCCAGCAAAGGGGGTTCCTCTCCCTCTTGCCCCTCAGCTGGGCACTGCAGGTGTGGCAGCCTAGCTTAAACTCTAGTTTCGTCTTTTTTCTACAGAATGATCCTCTTTTCTTGCGACTTTGATTTTTATACTGATAACCAGGAAACTGAAGGTACAGCTCTTTGCAAAATATTCAGTTCAACACTTAAAATGAAATTGGAGAGGTGAGTGAGTGTAACCAGGGAAGAGAAGTGTTTTCCAGGTTGATGTTTTGGGATTAAGAAGTTGTAACAGCAGTATGGTACTTTGCCAGGTTTTTGCGTAGATCAGCATGCTCTCAGTATGTGCTTAGAAGTTTTTGCAGGCAACACGTGGGCTCCTGAGCTTATAAGTCCCTCTTTACATTATTTTCTCCTGCAAAACCATCTTCTTGTCTAATGCATGTTAAGATAGCGAATCTTTGAATCCATAATAGTTTAATTACTCCATTTTATGCAGTGAGATTAAAAAACAAAATTATGTAAGCTATTTGGGAAGGCACTGACTTGCAATTCTCAATCTTCTCAGTTGAAATTGAGGATGTAGAAATCAAAGTGGAGTGTTTTGCATGAATTTGTTGCACAGGAATAGAACAAAGAATAGTTCTCATAGTAGCTGATGCGCATAGAACTGTGTACATATTATATCTTACAGGGAATTCACCTAATAAAAAAGATACAGCATTTATTCTATGTTTCTCTGCCTCTCTCTGCCCTGCTGAATTCTGCCTCCACTGGCTCCTGCTTCGCTGCAGTTCAATGTGAGTTTGGAGCTCTAGTTCCAAGCACCAGGTTGGTAACATTGGAGCCTTCCTTGCAGAGTCAGTGAGATGGGAAAAGCTCATTGTGGAGATGAATAGGTAATTTTCCTGGTTGCTTTTGAAAGGTGTCATACGTTTTTGGTTACTGTCCTGACACACTGGCAATCCTGGTGTGTCACTGGGACTGAAGTTGACTTCAGCTGGAATTAGAAACCATATCCTTTACTCAGTCCATAGAGTCATGTGTTTAAAATCAGTTGTCACTTCAGTAACAAAAACAGGAGAAAAGCATCTGAATTCTCTTCTTTGCATCTTCGCATAGTAATTTCTCCCCTTCTCTCCCTTTGCCCTTTTTCCGATAAAAAGTTAACAGTATGTAGAGACAAAAATGGAAGATGATTTGTTGTCTGTGTTGAAGAAAACACAGCTTATTGTCACTGACTGAACTGGATTTCCAAAGCCAGCCCTATCATTACAGAGGGCCATTTGGGAATGGAGACTCAATACATTTGGAGGCTGGGGAACAGAGTTTCTTCAGTTTTTTTTAAAATCTTGATTAATCTGCTGCCTTGCAGTGCGACCTTCAGAAAGATGTGCTATGTCTCGGTTTCTCCGGTGGAAAATTACTTCTGTAATATACTTTACATTTATGGTGTACAGCTATTCTGAAGACCTCATCGAGGCTAAGGTTTCATTGTGCGCTACACAAGCCAGTCCCTGCTCTGCTAAGCTTACAGCATAGAAGTTATTTGATATAATGATCATTATAAGGCTTGTGTAAAGAGCGCTCTTGACTCTTGTCCATCTGCTGTCACAATATTGTATCTCTTCATGTAAAATCTGCTTGGGTTTTTTTGTCTCTGCTTCAAGCAGCACCAGCAGTTTGGAAAACAGCCTGTCGGGAGTCTTTAGAGTGGGACTTCTGGCCTCATTTGTGAACTGGTATTTTCCCTGAGTCAGAGGATTTTTTTCTGTTTAGTAATACAAATTGCAAATAATCATCTGCCTCACTAGTAATTCTTTTCTGGTGGAGCAAAATAAGCATCTCACAAGTAGGTTTTTTTTTTTGGTGCAGCTGGTTGATAAAACCCTGACTTTATTATATAAAAGCCTTGCATCTGTGTTAAACTCATGGACAAGCTAGTTTTCTAATATTCTTTGTTTTAACAGAATGTTAGAAGCAAAAAGACTCCGTATCAGGAATGGAGAAATGATGTAGAACTGTTTTGGTCATCTTTTAGTTATCACTTTTCTTGTGCCTCCTGGTGTTGTAAGCTGTGGCAGTTGAGCAGGTGGTTACAGGGATTTTATGTGGTGGAGCACATCTTCAGGAGTGTGGGTGTGTGAATAAAGAAGGCTTTGAGAGAAAGAAGGTTTTTTTAACTTCTACAGAGAGCTCATTTGAGGCCTGACTGACTTGATGAGCAACATCTGGCATTCAGGGTGTACTTGCACTCTGCTGGGAAGGGCAGCCGTCACTCTCCAAAAATGTGCCTGTATCCCCAGTAATGCACACCTGGGTATTGTTGCTTTAGATAAGTCACATTTCTGGTAAGGGAGTGAACTACATAGTGATTTTGTTTTATTTTTAAATCACAGAGCAATTTAGTTACTTTCCCTGCTGTTTATGTTTTAGATGGTTTTATGTTTGTTGGCTTTGTTGAGCATTTTATCCTAGAAAAATAACAACATATGGTGAAATAGTGTGCTGTCGTAAACACGAAGCAGGAGGTGAGGGAGCTTTGTACCAAGCTTTCACGCATTTGAGACCAACCCAGATTTATGTTGTGCTGTTGGTGATTTGCCACTGATTCTTCAGTGGCATATAAGGGAAGGTTTCAGGCGATGTTTCCTCTCCAACTGCCACGGAATCAATTGGCAGCGATTAGGTGTGCAGTGCACGAGCATCCTGTGCCCCTGGCTCTGGGTTGCCTGAGGGGATTATACCCCTCCATAGGCATGTTCTGAGAGGCCTGGAAGAACATGAGTTCCCAGGACAAGTGGGGCAGCCTTGTAGAGAGGAGTGAAACCATGGAAACTGGGAATTGTGGGGCAAGAGAGGTGGTGGGAATTTGAGGAATCTTGCTGAGTTTGGAACAGCCATATGCCAAGGGCCTAGGAGCTCACTGGCAAGGACACATCATCGTAAGTATCAAAACAGGACAAGTCAGAGAATGTGAGGGCTCTTGGTAATTTTGAAATATAGGCTAGAATAAAAGGGGTGGGGTTCATGTGTTCTGGTAGGTGGCATAAAGAGGAGTGGGAGACAGCCAGGTACACTGGCTCTGTTCACTGTAGCTTGTGAGAATCTCACCAAGGCAAATGCTGCATCCCTGTGCACTGTTCAGGACCTTTCTTCCAAGGGCCAGTACGGTTTTTCTGCCATTTCCCACACAAATGGAGTGCATTGCTTTCCAGGGAACAGGTGTGCCTGCTGACAGGCAAGTGATGCTGCCCACCCGGTACCTGTTGATCCTGCCATTACATCTCAAACCTGTTAAATACCATTAATGCATACTGAGTGTTTACTTTTTCTTTTTATATTGCAGGATGCAAAGAGAAAGTGCCATGATGTGAATGTGAAACAGCTAAATGAGAAACAGGACACCTGGGAAGGCTGAGCTGAAACTGCTTGTTCACAGGATGACAGACTGATTTGCTGTTGGAGACAAGATTCAGGAAATCTCACTCTTCTGAAAGACTTTCCTGAGTGAGAGGAGAGGACCAGGAGGAAGCACACAAAAGAGCGATGGAAATTGAGGGCCATGGTTACTTGAGATAAATGGCAGATCCCTGGGAGTCTAGCCTTGTAGCTGTTTGCTTTAGCTTTGTCTCTCTCCACAGCTGCTTTTTCTTTTTTGCAAGCTGCTGCTGGGTACTGCCGCAGCGACACTGGAGATTTCAAGAGCAACGTGGGTGCAGAGTGTAAGAAGGGGGTGGGCAGCCCGCCTCACCATGATTCAGTTGTGGAAAGTAGTGCGGCATGTGCGTCAGCTGGAGCTCCACAGATTAATCCTACTGCTCATTGCATTCAGCCTGATCTCCATGTGCATCCTGGCTTACTACGTCACTAACAGTCCCAAAATCAAGGAGCCACCACCCCTGCCCTTCAGTGACTGCAGCAACCAGCACCGTGTCTTGATCCCACCACAAGCCAGCTGGAGGCTCACGAAATCTGTGGACACCTCACGCACAGATCCTGTGGTGCTGGTCTTTGTGGAAAGCATTTACTCCCAGCTGGGGCAGGAAATAGTGGCTATCTTGGAATCTAGCCGGTTTAAATACAGGACAGAAATTGCCCCTGGCAAAGGGGATATGCCCACCCTGACAGACAAAGATCGAGGACGCTATGCTCTGGTTATCTATGAGAACATCCTTAAATATGTGAACCTAGATGCTTGGAACAGAGAGCTGCTGGACAAATACTGTGTAGAGTATGGAGTGGGGATTATAGGCTTTTTCAAAGCCAACGAGAACAGCCTGCTCAGTGCACAACTCAAGGGTTTCCCCCTTTTCCTACATTCCAACTTGGGCCTGCGGGACTATCACATCAACCCTAGTGCTTCCCTGCTCTATGTCACCCGGGCTAATGAGGTGGAGCAGGGTCCACTGCCTGGTGATGACTGGACTGTATTCCAGTCAAACCACAGCACTTACGAGCCAGTGCTGTTGGCCAGCACAAAGTCCTCGGAGTCCATTCCTCACCTGGCCACCCACAAAGCATTGCATGCCACAGTAGTGCAGGACCTGGGTCTGCATGATGGGATCCAGCGGGTTCTCTTTGGCAATAACCTCAACTTTTGGCTGCACAAACTCATTTTTGTGGACGCCATTGCCTACTTGACTGGCAAGCGCCTCTGTCTCACACTTGATCGCTATATCCTCGTCGACATTGATGATATATTTGTGGGAAAAGAGGGCACTCGCATGAAGGTGTCTGATGTAGAGGTAAAGTCCCCAGAAAAATTTTTGTGTGTGTGGTGTGCCGGGAAAGTCAAAGTTGCATTTAATTTGAGTGAAAGTGTTCATTGCTGCAATTGTTCTCATCTTAAACGGAGAAGTAGCCAGCAAAGATGCCTGAAGCACTGTGTGTGATGCTCTCAAAAGTTTTGCGGGTTTCAATAGGGCATTTTTAATTCTCGGACCTCTAGCTGGTCTCTCTGAACTCTTAAGAGGAGGATGCTTGTGGTGGTCTATCCTGTCTGCTCTTTAACATAGGGAACAAACACGCAGATTTCCTCTGTCACCTGTTTGTAGCTGTAAACTCTACCTTTCAAAAGGAAAAGGCAAGTTGTGTTAGAATTGAACAGAATAACTTTATTATATTATTATTTAACATTATATGTGTAAACTGTATATATTATATTGCAAAGCTGGAGGCCAGTCCATGTGGTGTATACTGATATAGTCTATGTTTTAGTCATTTATCCTTTTAGGACATAACCAAATTGCAAAAAGAACAGTTTTCCTTCACCCTTTATTACACCCCCCACATATCCTCTACCAGAAAATTACCTCCCTGGGCAGTTAGTATCCAAAAATTCAACAGGCAAATGTACTCAGACCAAGCCTTTTTGAGAGCAGTCTCTGTGGCCTTCCGACTAAGAAAGAGAGATGCCGTCTTGATAGTTTGTTTTCTTTGGCAGTTCTTTGGGTAATAGAGTGACCTCTTAGGAAAGGATATGGGAAATGCAGAGAGAGACACATTTTGTGGAGGAGAGGGAAGCGAGACAGGGAGAGAAAATAAATAGGAAGAAGGTAAGAAACTTAAGTGCCCCTTCTAATTCTCTGTGTCCTTTAAAGTATGCGATAAAAAGACTTCTCTGAAGCCTGTGATACGTGTACATCTGCTGCTTCATGGAGCCAAGGACTTGCCTTTGTATCTTCTCCATCATTTCTGGTTTGTAGCCATAGAGGCAGGTGCCTCAAAAGGTGTAAAGGTGTAAAACAAAATACTGTTGTACTTGCATGTCCCTTACTTGAACTGAACCTCATCCGTTACATTTCCATGACCATTCTTCAACCTCACTAGGAGTCTTGCCACCTTTTTTACATGTTTTATGCATCCAGGCAAGACCTACATTAGTTCATTTCTATTTTTTCAGGTCTCTGAGATTTTAAGTTCTGCTTGTGATCCCAAATTTAGCCTGGAGAAACAGAAACACATTCTTTATGGAGCTAGCTTTGTCATTTCAATTCACTTGAAGCAGCTCTAATTGGATAGCATTATTTGTTTTACTCTCTTCGTTGTTTAATGATTTGTTAGAGTCACCTTTGACCATAACTCTCTAAGCAAATAGGTATAGAAAGTGTTTCCAAGCAGACAGGTATAGAAAAATGGAACACTTGGACATAATACTTAAGGAAAATACTAAAATTTAATTGACTTTACTGCAGTGCCCCTGTGTTCTGAGGTCCTGAAATGCTCTGAAAGATATTTTTTTTAAGAAGCACAGCTTTATCATGGTCCTAAGCAGGCCCTACACCCGCTAATCCAAACCAGCAGCAGAGATTCTCACTTCTGTAGTGTTTGTGCAGGTTACAGACCCATATGAGAAAACAGGAGATAGGTGACCAAAGCTCTTGGAAACAAAGGGTGCTCTAGATGTTAAAAACAAACCCAGACAAGATAATTCCAAAAGATGCTTTGTTTGGCTTTTAACAGGGTGAAAATGGAGGAATAATCTGTGATCAGTAAGCAGAGAATCTCAGACAAAGCGGATAAAACCCAGATACATCAATTTAAAAGAAGCTCTCTGATTGCAGAGCTACATGAGGTTAATGAATTTTTATTTTTTTAAAGTGAGAAATAACTACATGGATTTGTTGATAACCTCTCACCATAGGGAGAAAAGGGGATATACTAGTGATAGAACAGCTGGCATTTTCTTTGGCCTTTTATATGAAAGCTCTGTTTCAAGGCTGTTATCTCAACGCACAGCTCCTTATCTTAAAGCTTAGATTACAGTGGTCAGGGTAGCAGTTTGAAGAGTGGATGCCGTGTGAAGGTATAAAATTGACTTTACTTGACCCAGTGAGTCTCTTTGCTGTATGCAGGTCCATGTTCAGAGAACTTCCCACACAAAATTATTATTAAAAGAAAGTGCTGAATATAATTTGATCGAACGTATGCCAGTGGTACATGTTCTGCATGAGAAGAGAAATGTTCTTATTTGTGATGCTTAAAGAAGAGCTGAATAGCTTTCTTCTTTGACAAGAAAACAAGGCACCATGCGTGCTTTAAAGGTGATAATCCTTGAGTTCCTCTTTCTGCTGAAGGGCTGCAGCAGGAGCTTGAAGCCCTCAACTGAAGTGAAACAGTTAGAAGTTGTGTAAGGAAAATGTTTTTCCCTTGTAAAGTTTACCAGAGATTTGAGCTGCACATAATTAACAAAACAAAATCTTGGAGAATCCCTTCTCAATTATTCTACATTTTGCCTCTTTTGTTGGTAATCTCTACAAAGGCATAAGTAGTGAGTAATCATTGCTAGCAAGTCTGAGAGCAAGATAAATGAAAATCAAGGACAGTAGTTTCATTTTGAGTTATGAATGGTGAGGGTAGAAGAGAGAGATTCTAGTGAGGGTGGCTGCCAGCCAACTCCTGCCTTTCTAAATTACAGAGAGTGATCTTGCCTGAAATTAAAATACTCAGCAGTTTCTAACCCTGATTCTAACACTGAAGGGGAGGTAGAACTTGCAGTATGGTGAATGCTTTCTGACAGCGCTGCTGTGAGCAACACCAGTGCTGCTGCCGGGCAGTGAGACAACTGCAGAAAATGTGCTACCCAGTGTCCACAGGGATAGTTCCTGTGGAGAAGGTGTTTCTGCAACATGTTGCTAGTGTGCTTTGCATGAGCATTTGAGAAGAGACTGTCAAAGTACTCTGCTTTCTTCCTCCATTTTTAAATATCTGTTTCTTCTTTGTCCATGTGCTGTTTTCCTAGACTCACAGTATCCTCTCTTCCCAGCATCCTCCAACCTTATTTTTCACCCTTTCACCTTTTTTTAGATGGACTAAAGATAGGGGAATTAATATTTAGCATTTTTATGAAACAGATAAAATCTCTGCAAACACTTTTGGAAGTTAAAAATTTAATATCTGAAAAAGCACAGTTGCATTAAAGCTTCGCCTGGTATTATTGCTATGCCAAGAACACCATGCCAATTTAAAAAAGGATTAGATCCTGAAGAAGCAACGTGAAGTCAGGGTGCTGTGTCTTCCTTCCCCTGATTTCTTGCTCATTCCTAGAATTTTAACACCATTGAAAGAGTTTTTGTCTTTGGCATCAAGAGTTCATAGTCACTGTTGAGTAAATCTTTGCAGACCCATCAGCAAGATTATATAGGTATTTTAATGTGTTGCAACAAAAGGCACCATTTTCAACTATTTTTCCCCTAGCATTTTCTTAGAAGTAAATATTTATCATCATTTCAGTGATGGGCATAAAATACCAGGCTGAGGCGTGGACCTTTTTTTGCATTGTGTCCAGAAATGTGCACTGGAATGCAGATGTCTGTCACTTGGGCCTGAAGCATGGGTGCTCCAATTAAGGAATAAAGGCCTTCAGAAATACAGGTCGTGAGTTGCAGAGGATATTCTCTGATAAACAGTGACAAGCGTGAAGCAGGTCTGGCTCTCATGTGGCTTAAGAGTAGTTGTGGCCAGTGCTGGGAATCTCTTGGAGACCCCACCTGTTACTTCCTGTGGTGAACTTTGCTGAGCTTCTAGCAGAGAGCTTAGCTGGGGAAGGGGCCTTTCTGGCTAGCTAGTAGGCTTGGCTGCATCTTGGAAAGATTGTTTTAATTTAAATTAGAAAATATAAACAGAATTACATGGAGGGACTGGAGGGGCAGTTTTCTAGAGGAAGAAGTTTTGCTTTTTGGAGATGTGGGGATAGCTAAAATGCTAGCACTCTATCCCATAGCACCTGAGCAACTAAATTTCTTAAATATGTGTATTTGATCTGTTTGCAGATTTGATCTGTTTGCATCTGGCTAGCTATTTTATGTCTTAATGGATAGCCTACTCCACATTTTTTTCACTGCCCTTCATTTAAGAGTCGCAGAGCACATTATGGGTATAAATGAAATGCCACTTGAGTCACCTGTAAGATATTATTAGTACTATCAACATTCTTCCTACTTTATAAAAGAGAATCAGAGTGTAGAGGTGTCAGAGCAGAGAGAAGTGCTGTCTTCCTGGCCTGTTCCCATGTCTGTATTGTTTCATCTTACTGCAGCTCACAGACCTTGCTAAACCAGTGTGCAAGGAAAGAGT